AGGGATTTTAGGTTAGGGTCTAGAGCTTAAGTTTTTCTAAAAAAATTTAGGTCAACCGTTGTTTTCAATTTAGGATTGATAAAGATTTTTTAGGATCAATATTGTTTTTACGGTATATGAGTTCTAAGGGGTTAGGACTTAGGGTTTTAGATTAAGGAATTTTTTAGGGTTTTTAAGGTTTGGTTTTGGAATTTTAGTTTTAGGGTTTTAAAGGTTTTTATTGTTTAGCTCTTCTTAGGTTTTCTTAGGGTTTAGGGCTTCTCCTTTCCTTGTTTGTAAGCAATTACATAAGGAAAAGTTTCAATAAACTCTACCCATTTAGCATGCCTACGACTAAGTTTACCTTGGCTCTTCAAGTATTTTAATGACTCATGATTAGTCTTGACCACGAATTCTCGAGGCCACAAGTAATGCTGCCATGTAGCTAATGCCCTTACCAAGGCATATAGCTCCGTATCATAAGTTGAGTAGTTCAATGTTGCTCCACTTAGCTTTTCACCAAAGTAGGCAATTGGCTTGGAGTCTTGCATCAAAACTGCACATATGCCCTTACCAGAGGCATCACACACAACTTCAAATGACTTAGAAAAATCAGGCAATTGCAAAAGAGGAGCAGAACACAATTTATCCTTCAGCAAGTTAAATGCATCATCTTGTTCCTTTCCCCATGTAAAAACCTTATCTTTTCTAATAACTTCAGTTAAAGGAGCAGGAATGGTGCTAAAGTCTCGCACAAACTTCATATAAAAACTAGCAAGTCCATGAAAACTCCTAACTTCAGTTACACTATTAGGGTTAGGCCATTCTTTTATTGCCTTGATTTTCTCATCATCTACTTCAACTCCCTTAGAGTTGACCACAAAACCTAAGAAAACCACACGATCCACACAGAAAGTACACTTTTTGAGATTAGCAAATAAGCGCTAATTTATAAGAACTTCAAAAACTTATTTTAAGTGCTTTAGGTGTTCATCCAGATTTTGAGAAAAGATCAAGATGTCATCAAAATACACCACAATAAATTTTCCATGGAAATCTTTAAAAACATGATTCATTAGTCTCATAAAAGTGCTTGGTGCATTAGTCAAGCCAAAGGGCATAACTAACCACTCATAAAGTCCATATTTGGTCTTAAAAGCAGTTTTCCATTCATCTCCAGGGTTCATACGAATCTGATGGTAACCACTCTTTAGATCAATTTTAGAAAAGATTTTGGAACCATACAGTTGGTCCAACATATCATCAAGACGTGGGATAGGATGGCGATACTTTACCGTTATCTTGTTGATGGATCGACAATCTACACACATCATCCATGTTCCATCCTTTTTGGGGACCAATAGGACTGGAACAGAGCATGGGCTCATACTCTCTCGAATAAATCCCTTCTCAAGCAATTCTTCAACTTGCCTTTGTAATTCTTTGGTCTCTTCAGGATTGCTCCTATAGGCAGGCCCATTTAGGAAGTTGAGACCCAGGCACAAAGTCATTTGGTGCTCAATCTCTCTCAAAGGTGGCAATCCCCTTTTGGAGTGTCATCAGGAAAAACATCTTCAAAATTCTGCAAAAGAGAAGAAACACTATTTGGCAAAGAAGGAGTTAGTTGTTCAAAATTAATCAATACTTCTTTGTAAGTAAGTAGTATTATGGCAGCCCCTCTCTCCTAGCATTCAAACACTCTTTGGCTTTTATATAAAGGCTCTCATTTTTCTTTTCCTTAGCCTCTTTCCTCTCACCAAAACATTTTATTTTTTACTCACACCCTCTTTTACCTCTTTACTTAGATCGCTGCCCTCTCTCTTTCTCTCGGCCATCTCTCTTTTTATCTATCTCTTGGCCTTTTAATTTCCCTCAAGCTCACTTTTTACCTCTCCCTTTTGTTTTCCCATTGTTTCCCTCAATCATTTTTGATCTTCAAACACTTGAGAAGGAGATAATGGTGCAAGAGTATACTTCTTACCATTATGCAGAAGACTATACCTATTCTTTCTCCCATGATGAGTAGTATCCCTATCATACTGCCAAGGTCGGCCAAGTAAAACATGACATGCTTAAATTGGAACTATATCACAAAGAATCTCATCTTCATACCTACCAACATTGAATGAAATCATGCATTGTTTGTTTACTTTTACTTCTCCACAATCATTCAACCATTGGAGCCTATATGGGGTAGAGCGCTTCATGCATGCAATTCCTAGTTTATCCACCAAGTATGAACTCACCACATTTGCACAACTCCCCCCATCAATAATCATAGAATAAGTCTTCCCTTTTATCCCACACCTAGTATGAAACAAATTCTCTCTCTGCCCTTCATCAACAATACCCAAATTGATAGTCATAATTCTCCTAACCACCCCAATTATACCATCATTAGGCAATTCCAAATCATCTTCCTCACTTACACCTTCTCCCTCTTCTTCTTCCCCCTCACTTTTTTCACTCTCATATTCTCCATTCTCTCTAAGTAGGATGTTTCTTCTACTTGGACATTCATGCATCATATGCCCCCTTCCATGACATTTGTGACATTGAATAGAACTTGAAGGTTTAGAAGATTTAGGATTAAAGGTTTTACCTCCCTCCTCAACTTTACCTTTACCTCTATCATCTTGAGGTTTGGAAGGAGCTTTCCCCTCTTGAGTTGACCATGGCTTCTTAGAGATAGTGTTTGGTCGACTTCTCCATGAGTTATTTTGCTGCTTTTTCTCAATTTGTTTTTCAACTTTTACAGACAAATCAACTAACTCATCTAAAGTTACATATTGTTGTATCTCTACTACATTAGCTATTTCTGTATTTAAACCATTTAAAAATCTAGCTATTGTAGCCTCTTCTTCCTCCATGCAGTTAGCTTGGATCATAGCCATATCCATGCTTTTGAAGTACTCATCCACCGACATGGAGCCTTGCTTCAAGCGTTGAAGGCGAGATTGTAGATCTCTTTGGAAGTATGATGGAATAAATCGCTTTCTCATTACCCTCTTCATCTCTGCCCACGTAGCAATAGGTGGTAGCTCCTCTTGCAATCTGTCCCTAGCAAGCTTTTTCCACCAAGAAGCAGCATAATCAGAAAACTCAACAACAGCAAGTTTAACTTTCTTACCCTCAGAGTAGTTATGGCAATCAAAGATGGCTTCAACTCGTCTCTCCCAATCAAGGTACAAGTCTGGATCCCTTGTCCCCTTGAAAGATGGCATCTTCATCTTTATACTATTTATATTATCATCTTCTACTCTACCTCTTTGTCCCCTCCTATCTCTTCTTTCTAGATTAAATTCAACATCAAAATCATCATTATCATATTCAGGATTTACAAAAGGGATATGGGGTACATTCCTTCTAACTTGGGGTCTAACATTATTTGGGGGTACAACATTATTCTCCCTCCTAATTGCAGCTATGGTGTCATTTTACTCGATAATCATATCCCTCATCTCTTGAAATTGAAGGGTCCATCTCTCAAATTGTTGGTGCATAGCTTGAAGGGTGAAGTCGTTCCTTCCTTTGACCTCGGCTTCTAAGCGAGCCCTTTCCTCATCACCACCTGAATTAGACATCTAAAAAAAAAGATCAAGTATCACACTTTTTAATATGGCTTTTACCCTCTTTTAAAACTCACCCACACTTGCCTTTTTCCACTCAAAATAACCTTTGAACGAGAATACTTTGTAGATTTATAATTAAACCAAAACGTGTATCAAGTTCGTAGTGATAAAGTATGGAATCTTGGGGTACAAAAGGAAAGTAAAGAACTAGTCCTAGAACAAGTAGGATTTAGTTGAAACAAAACACGAATAAAAAGGAACTTATTTTAGAATTATAAGAACAAGAAGAAAAAAATTCCTCTTATTCTTAAAGATCTACAGTCCCCTCTTCTTGCTACCTTCTTGCTTGGAAACAAATTAATGCAAAACTTGGAGAGCAAGTAATAAGATTTCTTGAATAGCAAGTAATAAGCTTTCTTGGGTATCAAGTAATCAACTTTCTTGGAGGACAAGTAATCAGATTTCTTAGAGGGAAAGTTATAACCTTTTTTTTTTCACGCTACAGTATTTTTATTTTTTTTTGTTCACGCTACGGTTTTTTTTTTTGCTCTAATATAAGAAGAAATCCCAAGATTTATCAAGAACGGAATCTTGATAGAACCGCTCTGATACCACTTGATAACAACAAGGTTAAAGGAGATCACAAATAGAGAATTGAATATTAGAATGCGGAAGCACAAAAAAAAGAAACAACAAAACTAACTAAAGATATGGGAGATTCGAAGGAAAGATCCATGATACCACTTATAACAGAAAGGTTAAGGAGATCACAATTAGAGAATTGAATATTAGAATGAGGAAGCACAAAAGAAAAGAAACAAAAAAACCTAACTAAAGATATGGGAAATTCAAAGAAAAGATCCAACAATTTCCAAGGATTAGATGTTCTAAGGTCTTGAAAAGATCCAAGTAACAACGTATAGATTTATGGAAGAAATCCAACGTCTTTACTTGAGAAAACGAATCAAAATGATAGATTTGGATCTTGACTGCTTTATGAGTAACTAAAGACAATAATTAGTATGTAGAAACTAATCACCTTCTAAAGAATACAAAAAAGAAACCAAAGATATCACAAAAAGAAGTTACTTTATACCTTAAACTATGAAACTAGTAAAGGTTTAAAGATAAATTCTCAAAGAACAAGTCACAAAGGTTCAAAGAACTCTCTCAAATATTATTAATATCGATGTAAATTGTCTTTAATGAATGAAAAGGACTCCTATATATAGGAGAAGGGGAAACCACGTCCAAGACCCCTTATAGGAAGCTAAAAGGCCAGTCAAAACCTAGAAAGACAATTACAAGGAATCCTACTCTAGAAAGGAAATAAAGTAACCTAATTAGGAACAAATTTAGTACTTCTAGGAAAGCATTAAATGGTACTTAGGAGACCATAAATAGACTAAGGAAAATATTAATAACCTATATATAAATAAAGAAATAAGTTAAATCCCAACTAGGAAAAGAATCTTGACAATCTTGGAAAGTTTGACTAGTCTTCTCTCAAAACTTGAGCAGAAAGAAACTCTTGTTGTGGCTGATTCTTGGACTCCTCTTTACCTTATTTGCACGAAATTGGACCTTAAAATTCCTCATCTTGGGCTTGAATTTGGGCCACCAAATAATTGTAGCATTTGGACAATTCCTCTCTCTTGGGCTTGAGCTCTTCTTCCCCAATAAGACACCTTTGGATCAGCGATTGAAGCCCATTGAGCTTATCATTGAACCCCTTGGTTTGATATCTTGTTATGCGCTTCGTTGGAGTTTCTGAAGCTTCATCCTTGTCCTTTAATGGAGTAGAGCTTCCTTGGATGCTATCATTCCCCTCTTCTTGAAGAGAATTCGTCCTCGAATTCAAATCTGCATCAATGAGGACTGAATATGCTGGGACAAGCACCCAGCTAACTCTAGCAAAACTGAAACAAAAATGAAAGACTAAATATTAAAACATGTAAATCGTCCTCGAAAAATGAGGACTCACCACTGATATTGTTGAATACGGATCGGGAACCGATCTCCGCGTGATCTGAATGCTGAGGACCTGAACATACATCAAGAGAAGAGGTAACGTAGAGTATGTATCAGCAGTTGAAAGATTCTGAGCAAGCATGACATGACAAAGCTGAACAAATATATATAACTTAACAGAGCATATTGAAGAATAATATAATCTGAACATGATGAATAAGATTTTAGGTTTTCGTTTAAGGGATTTTAGGTTAGAGTTTAGAACTTAAGTTATTCTAAAAAAATTTAGGTCAAGAGTTGTTTTCAATTTAGGATTGATAAAGATTTTTTAGGATCAATATTGTTTTTACGATATATGAGTTCTAAGGGCTTAGGACTTAGGGTTTTAGATTAAGGAATTTTTTAGGGTTTTTAAGGTTTGTTTTTGGAATTTTTAGTTTTAGGGTTTTAAAGGTTTTTATGGTTTAGCTCTTCTTAGGATTTTTTAAGGTTTAGGGATTCTTAGAGTTTCATAAGTCTTAGGGTTACGGGTTCATCCCTAAGGTTTAGGGTTTAAGTTTCTTAGGGTTTGAGTTTAACATTTAAGGTCTCCTAAGTTTTTTTTGGGTCATTTAGGGTGTAGGTGTTTAGGTTTTAGTGTTTTAGGTTTAGGGTTTTTCTACGGTTTAGGGTTTAGGTTTGTTAGGTTTAAGATTTTTTAGGTTTAGAGTTTTTAAAGTTTTTTTTGTTGTTTTTTAATGTTTATATTTTTTTGGATTTAGAATTTCTAAGGGTTTAGGGCTTCTTAGAGTTTCATAAGGCTTAGGGTTGGGGGTTTATCCCTAAGGTTTAGGGTTTAGGTTTCTTAGGGTTTGAGTTGAACATTTAAGGTCTCCTAGGTTTTTTTGGGTCATTCAGGGTGTAGGGTTTAGTGTTTTAGGTTTAGGGTTTTTCTAGAATAGAGTTTAGGTTTGTTAGGTTTAAGATTTTTTAGGTTTAGAGTTTTTAAAGTTTTTTTTGTTGTTTTTTAATGTTTATATTTTCTTAGGATTTAGGATTTCTTAGAGTTTCATTGGGCTTAAGGTTGGGGGTTTATCCCTAAGGTTTAGGGTTTAGGTTTCTTAGGGTTTGAGTTGAACATTTAAGGTCTCCTAGGTTTTTTTGGGTCATTCAGGGTGTAGGGTTTAGTGTTTTAGGTTTAGGGTTTTTCTAGAATAGAGTTTAGGTTTGTTAGGTTTAAGATTTTTTAGAGGTTTTCTAGGGTTAGAGTTTATAAAAATAAATTTATTGTTTTTTAGGGTTTTGGGTTTCTTAGTCCTTTTTGGGTTTAGGGTTTGGGGTTTTCTTAGGGTTAGGGTTTTGGGTTTATGATTTTTAAGGGTTTGGGGTTTTGGGCTTATGATTTTTAAGGGTTTAGGGTTCAATTTATGTTTTTTTTAGGTTTATGATTAAGGTTTTCAAATGTTTTAAGGTTTCTTAGGTTTTTTTAAGAATTTGGATTTCTTAACATTTAGGATTACGTAAGCCTAATATATTTAGGGTTTTTTCTAGGGCTTATGGTTTTAAAGGGATTTTTTTTCCTCGGGTATTATAGTTTTAGGTGTTTAAATGGATTTTTGTGTGTAGGATTTCTTAGGATTCCATATGGTTTGGGGTTTAAGGTTTAGCCCTATGATTTAGAGTTTCTTAGGGTATATTATTTATCGTTTAGGACTTCTTAGGGTTTTAGTTTTTTTAAGGGTTTTTAGGATTTAGGGTTTTGGACTTAAGATTTTCTAGGGTTTTATTAGGTTTAGAGGAATTTTTAGGTTTAGGGTTTTAAGGTGTTTAGGATTTTTATGGTTTGTTAACGATTAAGGGGTTCTTAGATCGTACGGATTTTATAGGGTTTTTAGGGTTTACGGTTTTTAAAAGTGTTTTAGGGATTTTTTTTTATTTCTTAAAGCTTAGGGTTTCTTAAGGTTTAGGGTTTCTTTGGGTATAAGGTCTAGGTTTTTATTTAAGGGTTTTTAAGGTTTAGGGCTTAAGTTTTTGTAGAATATTTTATGTCACGCCTCAAATCCATTAAGACGGACAGGCACTCGATGCCCTAAAGGCCCGGGAGAACCAACATGTGACCTGTGCTTACTATGCATATAGATGAAATTTTTTTGAAAATTTCGCCAGGGACGCAGCGATACGAACCGACGTATGTAGACCAAAAACTTATATACAAGACTTGGCCGTTGAGGCCACAACTTGTTAAGATGCAACTGAACCATATACATAAGTCTACAAAGCCTCTAAAAGATAGAAACCCTTAGAGTAGGTCGGGACAGACCCCGCCTTACCCCTAACCACGATACAATACCATAATGAATCTACCAAGGGCTCAATAAAGCTCCGAAGCAATCTGGAGCTCACCAAAAGTAGCTGAGTGTCGTATGCTCCTACTGAGGAGGTCTACTAGCGGGAGTACCTGTGCCTACAGCATGGAACGCAGCGTCCCCCGCGAGGGACGTCAGTACGAAAACTGTACTGAATATGTAAGGCAACTACATATATAAAATAAGAGTTCAAACGAAACCAGGTATCAACGTATAAGTGCATAAATTAGAATAGGAGGCCGCCTCTGTTAACTCTTGTGGGGTCATGTATGTTACATTCTTGTCTTTACCTTTATGTGTGTTATGAACTTTATAAGGCATGTGATACGAGTGACCAGCTGATTAGTGGTAGAAGAGGATGACCCATGCTAGCCATTTTAACCC